CAGTAAATAATATGCATTTTAAGACTACAGTCAACTGGATATTCTATATTAAACACTAAATCTTTGTGTTAAATTCATGAAGAGGACAAGGCAGTCTACTCGTTGATATTCTCTTAAACATGTAAAGAGAATGGTAAAATGAGCCAATGAAATGAGTACCGAATGTCAGTAATAATTACATTGTTTGTAGATGATATCGTGGACACAATAAGGTGGGTAAGGTGAAACATCAATACAGAGAACTAAAGTACCTGCTAACTACAGACTTCCCTTTCCTAGACGAAATAACTATGGGACTGTCCCAGCCTCATTATTCTAGAGGTAAAGCCCAATACCCACCATCTTGCTTCATTTCCTTCTTACTCACCACTTTACTGGGACACCGTCTCTGATGCTTATCAGCAAACCTTTCTTGTTATCTGCAGTCAGTCCTGCAGAAACCCATTTGGGTTTTCACCAAGGCTGGGGTCACAGACTTATAGCAAAGGGGCAACAAGTACATGTTGTTATCTCAAGGGCTATATTCACAGGGCTCCTCATTAAAATAAATTGTTCTAGTGAATTTCCTCTCTCCAAACAACTCAACTCTATAGGGGTACAAGGAAGAGAAAATGAAAACATTTAAACTAAAGTTGTGTGTGGCAGCAGTGGGAGAAAAAGGTATGTTCTCCAAGGAGAAATTCTTTGACTTGACTTCAAAGTGACCAGGTACCCCCTAAGGAATGTTTAATTCCTACAAGAACTAAAACATGGAGTCCTTTATTGCTATTAGGGAGGGCTCCAGGTGGTAGTGCTACTGGTTAAGAACCCACCTGCCAGTGCAGGAGACATAAGAGATGCAGGTTCTATCCCTGGGTCTGGAAGATCCCCTAGAGTAGGAAATGGCAACCTGCTCCGGCATTCTTGTCTGGAAAATTCCATGGACAGAGGAGCCTGGTGGGCTACCATCCATGGGGTCGCAAAGAGCCAAACAAGACTGAGCACAGCACATGCCGAGGGGCAGGGGCCACAATTAACCAGGTAGGTTCAGCTGAAGCGAGTATTGAGGAGATACAATGTGGCAAACAAATCATCTTTAAAGTTATCACAAAAGGGGAAGACAGAGACAAAAACATAGAATAAATGGAGTATCTAAAATGGGAGGGTTAAAACTAAAATTTAAGGGAAGTTATGGGAATACATTTAATTTCAAGAAGAATGATGGTATTTAGTGCAAGCCGCTGAATACACAGGCATGTCTGGGTACATACATACCTCACATGATGCGCCATACACTTCTAAACCAATAGCTAGCATAATGTGCTGTATCTCCAGCTTGTAGGACATGGATGCAGAAATCAAGGATGGGAAGCTGATGTGAACCCTTGTAATATCACTCCTGGTGAGACATGTGAAGAGTCTGTGCTCCAGCTCTACACAACTATGGCCTTTTCAGGTTTGGATGCCTGGACACCAAAAATGTAACAGTTCTAGAGACATGACAAAAGTCCCATTCAACTTTTTTTTTTTTTGGTCATGCTGCCTGGATTGCAGGATGTTAGTTCACCATCAAGGATTGAATCTGGGTCCATGGCAATGAAAGTGCCAGTCCTAACCTCTGGACCACCAGGAAATTCCTACCATTGAACTTCAAGCTATGCTGAAAAGTGACACTGTTAATCGTTCAGTTATGTCCAACTCTTTATGACCCCATGGACTGTAGCCCGCCAGGCTCCTCTGTCCATGGGCTTCTCCAGGCAAAAATATTGAAGTGGGTTGCCATTTCCTCAGTCAGTGGCTGGAAGCAGGAGCAACCTCAGGGCAAACACAGTGGTGGATACAGATGGTGGTCACTTATGCTCCCATGACAAGAGATCTGAGTGGTGTGATCTCAGGTGAGGCTGCTATCTTTAGTTGAGAGCAGTTATCATAGAGAAGCCTCTGGGCTCTTGATCTGTATGCTTGGAAAAATAAGCCTTTAATTCTAAAGGGAGAAATGGGCAACACAGCACAGGATTCGCTACAATGAATCCTATTAGCCATTTAGATTGTGATCTTCAACAACATGGACAGTGTTCCTGGAGAGCTCATTTGTGATTAATGGGGGTCAGGAGTTGGGAATGACTTTTCTTGGGAAGTGAGGGACAAACCAAGAGCACAAGCATCCTGAGTAAGGCTCAGTCAAGCATGACTGTCTTTTTGGCCTGTTTCTCTATAAAAATCTAATTCTCTCTCCCTACTACTGCTGAGAAACAGGCCAACACATGCCACTGCCAAGTAGATATTAGTGGGGGGGTTTCACAGGCACATCCACTGAACCTTTCCAAGAACAAACTTACATTTTTTTCTTCCTTCCTTCCTTTTCCTCAAACATGTTATATCAGAGTAACACCACAGATGATGTAAACAGATCCACACATGGAACTGTTCTAGACAGCTAAGTAATAACATAATAAAATATTTTTCCTAATTACTTTTTATTGGGATTTATCACAAAGTCTGGTTTACCATTTATTTATGTATTATTTTATTTCCTTTCTCCCAGTAGAATATAATCTCAATGAAATCTGGGCCTTTATTTTGTTCCAAGTCTTATACCAGTACCTAGAAGATAATATATTAGAAATGTTTAAAGGCATGAGTTGATCAAACCATTGCTATTATTAGCATTAGAAAGAAAATGGTTTCATCTTTTGTGGGAAAAAAAGGACAAAATAGAAAAAAAAAAATGAACTTGGGAGCAGACAAATATTCCAATTTTTTTCTTTTCTAGTTTTTGCCAGATACTAAACATCACCTACACAAGTTGAACATTTGTAACTATCAAAAATTTGTATAATGGTTGCAGTCCATCTGTTAATCTCAGAATGTCTTGTTTTCCATATATCTTTTAATGACATGCAACTGTTAGATAATTTTTATCTCTAAGGAAAAATTCCAAATCTAATAGCAGTGTAAAGGAATACAAAGTGAAAAACACTGCGGTCAAGACAGCATCAGGTTCGTCTTTTTCAGCGTGTTTTCCATATGACCAACAATAATATTACACTTATTTAATAATATTACACTTATTTGTGTACTATTATGGACTGAACTGTGTTCACTCAAAATTTTATGTTGATATCCTTATTCCCAGGGCTTCAGAATGTGACTGTATTTGGAGAAAGTGCCTTTCAAAAGGTAGTTAATTTTAACATGAAGTCACCAGGGTGAACCTTAATTCAATCACTGTGGTGTTCTTGTAAGAAGAGGAAGTCAGAACACACATAGAGGCCAGGGAAACCTGCACAAAGGGAGGACCAGGTTCAGAATAGGCATGATGGTGGCCATCTGCAATCCAAGTGAAATGGAGAAGGACCTTATGATCTATGCTCCCCCCATGTCCTCAGCCTACCTTTTGCCTGTGGAACAACTTTAGTCAAAGAATAAGCTTAATCAGAGACATGAGAAAATGCAGAAACAAAGGAAAATTGTCAAAGGAGGCCAAGTAATAATAGTTAATATCATAGTAAGCAGAGTCAAGGACATTTAGTTCCTCCTCAAGGACTATTATAGATGATATCCTGAGCCGTAACCTGTGAGGTATCTTGTAGATACTGAACTGCACATCAAGTGAAAGAAGTTAACTACATGATGACCAGACTGTAGTCATGATATAAACTGTCACAGTTCCAAGAACTGCCATCAAAGAAATGGGAACAAACCAATCCTGCAACTGAAGACTAACTGTAGTTAAACAAGATGAGTCTGATTAGGACACCACATGCCCAATTTCAAGGAGACTTATCAGAGCTGACTGTACTATATCTGCACATAGGCCCCTCCCTCTGTCTATAAAAGCTCTTTCCCACTGATTGTCAGTGCAGGGAGTCAGCCTTCTGCTAGGCATCTGCCCTTCCTCTGCCACCCTGCAGGTTGCCAGCATCCAAAGTAAAGCAAACTTTCCTTTCCACCAACCTTATTTGTCTATTGGCTTTTGAGAAGTCAGCTGCTGGACCCCACGTGGCCTCAGAGGAAACCAATCCTGGTGGGACCTTGATGTTGAACTTGCAGACTCCAGGATTGTTAGAAAATATATTTCCGTTGTGTAAGTCACCCAGTCTAGCATTATTAGGATAAGGCAAGCACCATTTCAAAATCCTCTTGCTACAGCTGTTACTTGAGCCATGTCTCCTCTAATTATTTCAATGGAAGTTGTGACAAGCTTTTTGCTCAGCTCCAACTGGACACCTTACCACAGGCACATGCCAAACACCTCCTGCTTTCTGCTCTGAAACTTCTGATACCAAATTATGGGACATTTGAAGGAATCTGCTCTGTATTCAGAAGTGTGCAACTCAGACATAAAGGGATGCTAAGCTCTCTAGGACCATCTCTGGCCCATAGAAAGCATGAGCTAAGGTCTTTTCATCTATTGAGTGGAAAGTTCTGGGACACATGTTGTACCTCAGGAAGGTTTAAGGACCTTATGATCTATGCTCCCCCCATGTCCTCAGCCTACCTTTTGCCTGTGGAACAACTTTAGTCAAAGAATAAGCTTAATCAGAGACATGAGAAAATGCAGAAACAAAGGAAAATTGTCAAAGGAGGCCAAGTAATAATAGTTAATATCATAGTAAGCAGAGTCAAGGACATTTAGTTCCTCCTCAAGGACTATTATAGATGATATCCTGAGCCGTAACCTGTGAGGTATCTTGTAGATACTGAACTGCACATCAAGTGAAAGAAGTTAACTACATGATGACCAGACTGTAGTCATGATATAAACTGTCACAGTTCCAAGAACTGCCATCAAAGAAATGGGAACAAACCAATCCTGCAACTGAAGACTAACTGTAGTTAAACAAGATGAGTCTGATTAGGACACCACATGCCCAATTTCAAGGAGACTTATCAGAGCTGACTGTACTATATCTGCACATAGGCCCCTCCCTCTGTCTATAAAAGCTCTTTCCCACTGATTGTCAGTGCAGGGAGTCAGCCTTCTGCTAGGCATCTGCCCTTCCTCTGCCACCCTGCAGGTTGCCAGCATCCAAAGTAAAGCAAACTTTCCTTTCCACCAACCTCATTTGTCTATTGGCTTTTGAGAAGTCAGCTGCTGGACCCCACATGGCCTCAGAGGAAACCAATCCTGGTGGGACCTTGATGTTGAACTTGCAGACTCCAGGATTGTTAGAAAATATATTTCCGTTGTGTAAGTCACCCAGTCTAGCATTATTAGGATAAGGCAAGCACCATTTCAAAATCCTCTTGCTACAGCTGTTACTTGAGCCATGTCTCCTCTAATTATTTCAATGGAAGTTGTGACAAGCTTTTTGCTCAGCTCCAACTGGACACCTTACCACAGGCACATGCCAAACACCTCCTGCTTTCTGCTCTGAAACTTCTGATACCAAATTATGGGACATTTGAAGGAATCTGCTCTGTATTCAGAAGTGTGCAACTCAGACATAAAGGGATGCTAAGCTCTCTAGGACCATCTCTGGCCCATAGAAAGCATGAGCTAAGGTCTTTTCATCTATTGAGTGGAAAGTTCTGGGACACATGTTGTACCTCAGGAAGGTTTGGTGGGATTTAGTAGCAGCCATCAATAAAAGCAGTCATTATTATTTTGATTCCTTAATTGGTTTGGTATTCCATCCTTCCCTAGTAGATAATAATAGGAGATATATACAACAAATATATACATATTTGTTCTGCTTCTCTGGATAACCCTAATAACAAGGCCCAAGAGAAATGAAAATATGTTTGAATATACCTGGCTTTTCATAGCACCATTATTCATAATATGCACAAAGTGGAAACAATCCAAATATTCATCAATTGATAAGTAAATAAAACAATATCTTCATACTATGGAATATCATTCTGAAATACAAAGAAATTATATATGCTACAACACATGAATCTTGAAAAATATACTAAGTGAAAAAATTATTGATGAAGAGTTTCATGATCTTATTTACATGAAATGTCTAGAAAAGGCAAATGTATAGAGACAGAAGGTAGAATCATGGCAGCATGGATGTTAAGTGTCTAGGAATATGGGGGTGTAACCACCAAAGGGTACTTTCTAATGGAACCAAAATTCCATTATATTTTTACAACTAGGTTTTAAAATAACATAAATCTGTTGTTATCAAAAGAGTCTGATACAGGTATAAGTAAATATTACTGACACAGAAGAGTCTAAAACCTGAATTAGGTATATATAGGAATTTATTGATTAATAAAGGTGGAATTTCAAATTAGTATGTCAAGGATAATTTATCAGTAAACAATTGATCCTCTTTCCAGAGGGAAAACATAATTGTATCCACTACCCCGTGTGTGTGTGTGTGTGTGTGTGTGTGTGTGTGTGTGTTAGTTATTCAGTTGTGTCTGACTCTCTGTGACCCCATGGACTGCAACCCACCAGGCTCCTCTGTCCATGGAATTCTCCAGGCAAGAATATTGGAGTGGGTTGCTATTTCCTTCTCTAATGCGAATTTTAGTAGCAGTTAGTCACTAAGTCGTGTATGACTCTTGGAACCCCACAGACTGTAGCCTGCCAGGTTCCTCTGTCCATGGGATTCTCCAGGCAAGAACACTGGAGTGGGTTGCCATTTCCTTCACCACCACTACCCCATAACACATGCCAAAACACATTCTTTGAGGATTAAAATGTCAGTAAAAATATAAATTTTAGAAGAAAATTAGAAAATCTGTATGTAACATAGAGTTGGAAGAGAATTTTTAAGGCTAGGAGAAAACCCATAAAAAATTTTTTTAAAAAAAGAAGAGACTCCTCTGGCTATGTAAAAAGTGAATATCTCATTTGCAATTGATGAAATATTAACATAGCAAAACAATTATCCGTTTAACAGACGCATAAAACACATTTGATAATGCACATAAGCAATTTTGATAAATGTGCTAACAAGTAGGATTTCGAAATACCTTTATAAACTCCTCTGCGGCCACACACTGAAATATACAGAAAACATGATTAAGGAGAAAACTGAGAACTATTTCTGAATGGGTGAAGAAGGCCTGGTTATCAGAGCTGTTCCTCAGCTTAGTATGAGGGGCCCTAAACGGTATGGTTAAGATCGGAAAAATAAAAAACCAAAATACATACTTTAACACAATACATACAAAGGTTACAGGAAAATGTCACTACTTAGAATACTCAAAGGAGTCAATAATTTAAGTTTAGCACGGTGTCCTAACTTCATACAAAGAAGTAAGGCAAAAATAAACCTTAAATACGAGATTGATTTAATAGAGGAGATAGACCGTATCTCGGATTGGCAGGTTTGTCAATACAAGAGACTCTAAGGGATTCAGGGAGCTGAGAACAGACAAGTACAAAACCTTTCGAAGACGAACCATTTGGATGAGTACCCACCCTTAGCCCCTCCCTTCAGACCCCAAAAGCCGGGACTACGCCCCGTCCCGCCTCCCCATCACTTCCGGGCATGGGTCCCGCCCTCCATTCGCAGCTCCGCCCACGGGCGTTGTTTTAGCCTCGGAATCATCCTGTGGGAGTGTTTCTGCTTCCAGCCCCAACAATGAATCGACCGCAAGACCCCTCACCCGCAACGGTGGGAGAAACTGCAAGTTTTCTCTGCAATGGCTGAATTTGACTGACAGTCCTAACCTCAGAACCCCGCCCCGCCACGGCCGAAGTAGGAAGCGGAAGTTGCGTCACTGTCTGAGTCGGTCTTCCGTCCGGCGCCTCCGTGCCTCTGGGAGGTAGTGGTTTTGGTCGTCCTGTGTTTCAGCGTGTCCTTGGTGAGGCCCATGTTCAGGAAGGGCAGTGGGATACAAGGAGCGCGTTAAAGGACAGGTTTGGTCCGAATTTTCGAGAGATCTCCTTGGGCAGGCCTGGCCCCTCTCTCTTACATCCTTCGGGCCCTAAGGCCCTGCATTCATCCAGGTCGTATGTGCGGTAAGGGGAGTGTTCGGGGTGTTGTCATTCACTGTGCTTCACTATTCGAAAGCCTTTTTGTGACTTTAGTTTTTGAGATCATGAATATCCACTGTTTGATTCAGGTTACTCAGGCCCCTGCACCTTCTGGTTATTTTGAAGTTAGTAATCCTGCTGTATTCCTGTTGAATATGAAGATGTTCACTTGAAAATGAAAGAATTGAGTTTATTCAAAGTTTTACTGGGGACTGTTGCCCAGGAGTCAGCCTCTGAGATAGCTCTGAGAAATTATTTTGAAGAGATGAGGTGGCATGTTAGTATATATGTGATTCGGGGGAAGGATATGTGTTATTTTCCAGGAAAAATTATGGAAGAGTTGGACCACTTTATTTGAGCCAGATTTGAGGATTCCAGCCCTGGAAGAGCATCTCAGAAGGCTCTTGTGTGTATATGTGTAACTGAATCTTCTTTGAGTACATCTGAAACTAACACTTTATTGTATTTCAATCATATCCGACTCTTGAAACTCCCATGGACTGTAGCCTGCCAGGATCCTCTGTCCATGGGGTTCTCCAAACAACAGTGCTGGCATGAGTGGCCACTCCCTTCTCCAGAGGATCTTCCTGGTTCAGGGATCTGCATTGCAGGCATATTCTTGACCATGTGAGCCACCAAGGAAGCCTAAAATATACTATAGTATTACTTACGCATGTAATCTATTTAATAGGAGATTTTTATGTTGCTTTCTTCATTGAAAGTGTCCAAAATTAGCTGCACCCTAAATTTTTATCAGATACACTTCATTAGTGTGCATTTAGGATCTTATTTTTCCAACCAGGGATTGGACCCATGTCCCCTGCAGTGGAAGTGCAGAGTTTTAACCACTCAACCAGCGGGGAAATCCCTTGACTAGTGTTTAAAGTGAAAGTTGCCCAGTCGTGTCAGACTCTTTGCGACCCCATGGACTATACAGTCAATGGAATTCTCCACGCCAAAATACTGGAGTGGGTAGCCCATTCCCTTCTCCAAGGGATCTTCCCAACCCAGGGATTGAACCCAGGTCTCTAGCATTGCAGGCGGGTTCTTTACCAGCTGAGCCACCAAGGAAGCCCAGATTAGTGTTTAGACTGTATGCAGTTTACAACTGAAAGAGCAGATTCAAATACTGATGTTGTAAAGTATATAAAATGGACTTATAAGGTCCTCATGAGATAGTTGGTACATAATGGTTGTCAATAAATGGCAGTTGATGTTACTGATACTCTTGTTGTAGAGCATACAGTTTTAGTAGCTCTCATAAATGTCCTCTGCACAGAAGGAACTAATTTATCATGTTGATGACTGATAATTAGTATTTGTTGATTTGTACTTGATATGAAGCTGAGCTCCAGATAACCATGTCTTCAGAGGGATGGAGATGGCCCTATCCACTTATATTCTGAAGCTACCCTGAAATGATCATGATTCAGAAAAGAGTATTTATGCACATTTCACTATCAGTCTTGCAGCATAGCAGCCTATCATATGCCCCATGGTAGTTTGTCATTAATGCTTTTTTTTTTTTCCCCCAGAGACTCAGCTTTGGGTTCTGTTTTTAAAATACAGATTTCTTTGGTGTGGTTCTGAGCAGTCGTGCTGCTTGTTTACCCAAGAGGAGCTGAAATGAGCCAGAGAATGATGTTCTCTAAGAGAGTTTCCTAGTATGTATGCATGAGGTAGAGTTGCTGCATAGTCCTATTCATGTATTTTATTGCCTTGATAAGTAAAAAGTCACATTACTCAGCGTTTAGGTTTCCTTGCCTGTGAAGTGACTGATTACTCTTTGCCTGGTGGGTCTCTGACTCCAGATGGGACAGGACTTCCCTGGTACTTCATGGCAGTAGTGTGTACTTGTGAGGTTTTTAGTTTTTGGTTTTGAGTGTGTTTATCTCAGAGTTGCAATGTCAATTTTATTTTTTTAACTTTTTGTTAAAGTATAATTTATTTACAGTAGTGTATTGGTTTCAGGTATGCAACATAATGACTCTATTTTGATTGGTTATACTCCATTTAAAGTTATTATAAAATATCACCTACATTCCATGTGCTGTACAGTATATCCTCGTAGCTTTTTTATTTTATACATAGTAGTTCATACCTCTTAATTCCCTACTCCAGTCTTACTGGCCCTCCCACTGGTAGCCACTAGTTTGTTCGCTATACCTCTGAGTCTGTTTTGTTCAATTCATTTCCTTCATTTTTCAGATTTCACATATAAGTGATAACATACAGTATTTGTCTTTGTCAGACTTGTTTCACTAAGCATAATAGCCTCCAGGTCAATCAGTGTTGTTGCAAATGGCAAAATTTCATTCTTATTTATGATTGAATGATATTTTATTTTGTGAAACTTCTTTATCCATTCATATGTTGATGGATATTTAGGTTGCTTCTATATCTTGGCTTCTGTATGTACATAATGTTGCTATGAACATTGGGGTGCATGTATCTTTTCAAATTACTGTCTTCATAAGCCAGAAAGAAAAACACCAATACAGTATACTAATGCATATATATGGAATTTAGAAAGACGCTAACGATAACCCTATATGCGAGACAGCAAAAGAGACACAGATGTATAGAACAATCTTTGGGGCTCTGGGGGAGAGGGGGAGGGTGAGATGATTTGGGAGAATGGCATTGAAACATGTATATTATCATATGTGAAACGAATTGCCAGTCCAGTTTCAATGCATGAGACAGGGTGCTCGGGGCTGGTGCACTGGGATGACCCAGAGGGATGGGATGGGGAGGAAGGTGGGAGGGGGGTTCAGGATGGGGAACACATGTACACCCGTGGTGGATTCATGTCAATATGTGGCAAAACCACTACAATATTGTAAAGTAATTAGCCACCAATTAAATAAATTTATATCAAATTACTGTTTTCATTTTCTTTGTATATGTACCCAAAGGAGTGTAATTGCTGGATCATATTATAGTTTCTTGAGGAATCTTCATACTGTTTTTCCTACTGGCTACACCAATTTAAGGTCACATCAACAAAATACAAGGGTTCCCTTTTCTTCACATCTTCGCCAAATTTGTCATTTGTGGTCTTTTTGATGACAGCCATTCTGACAGGTGTGCGGTAATATCTCATTGTGGTTTTGATTTGCATTTATCTGATGATGAATGATGTTTAGTATCTTTTCATGTAATTCTTGACTGTCTGTACGTGTTCTTTAGGAAAATTTTTTCAAGACTTCCCTTCATTTTTTAATAGAATTGTTTGTTTTTTTGATTTTGAGTTGCGAAGCTGTTTATATATTTTGTATATTAACCTATTATTGGTCATATCATTTGCAGATGTTTTTCTCCCATTCAGTAAATTGTCTTTACATTTTGTTGATGGTTTATTTTGTTATACAAAAGCTTTTGATTAAATCCCATTTGTTTAATTTTGCTTTTGTTTTCTTTGCTTTAGTAGACAGATCCAAAAACAGAATTTTATGATTTATCTCACAGACTGTTCTGCCTGTGTTTTCTTCTAGGAGTTTTATGGCTCTGGTCTTAACCTTTAGATCTTTAATCCATTTTGAGTTTTTTTGTACATAGTATGAGAAAATGTTCTAGTTTCATTCTTTTACATGAGCTGTCCAGTTTTCTGAGCACCATTTATTGAAGAGACTGTCTTTTCTCCATTGTGTATTCTTGCCTCTTTTTGTCATAGATTAATTAACTATAAGTGTGTAGGTTTATTTCTGGGCTCTGTATTCTGTTGTTCTGTGTGTCTTTTTTTGTATCGGTGCTGTACTGTTTGATTACTGTAGTATTGTAGTATTGTCTGAAGTCAAGGAATGTGATATCTCCAGCTTTGTTCTTTTTTCTCAAGAGTGCCTTGGGTATTTAGCATCTTTTCTGGTTCCATATAAATTTTAGGATTATTTGTTCTAGTTCTGTGACAACTGACAGTTTTCACTGACAGTGAGTACTTTTCTGGGGATTGCATTAAATCTGTAGTTGCTTTGGGTGGTGTGGACATTTTAACAGTATTAATTCTTCCAATCCATGAGCATGGGATAGCTTTCCACTTCTTTGTAATATCATCTTCAATTTCCTTCAGTGTTTTATAGTTTTCAGAGTATAGGTCTTTTTTGTTAAGTTTTTTAATTCTAAATTAGTAATTTAATTCTTTTTAATGCATTTTTAAATGGGATTTTTTTTCTTGCTTTTTATATCTGATAGTTATCATTGTATAGAAAAGCAACGGATCTCTGTATATTAATCTTGTATACTGCTACATTACTGAATTCATTAGTTTTTTGGTGGAGACTAGGGTTTTATATGTATATATAATAGATGGGCCTCTAGGCCTTAGCGCCATCTTTTGAGAAACCTCTGCGCCATGAGAGCGAAGTGGGGGAAGAAGCAAATACACAGGCTGAAGCACAAAAAAAGAAAGATGAGGCAGAAGTCCAAGTAAACTTGTACACCCATGGAAGCCACAGAAGCAGAAACAAAGGAAGCCAGAGGCCAGGGACGCTGGTACAAATTGTGGACCGCATGCCTACTATGTAGAGCTTCTCAATGGATCTGGAACATCTATGGCCATTCTGATCGCCTTGACCATCTTTGAGAGACCTACCTTGCTCTTATCAAAGCCGTCCCTTTTGGTCCTTTGCCCTGGACCTGTGATAACTATGGACTAGTTCTCTTCTCAGTTGTGACTGAATGTAACGTGTACAATAAATCATCTCTTTTGCTGTCTTAGCTGAAGAAAAAAAAAAAATCNATCTGAAAAAGAAAAAGTAAAAGTGTTAGTTACTCAGTTATGTCTGACTCTTTGCATCCTTTCCTATCTGAATGCCTTTTATTTCTTTTTCTCATCTGATAGCTGTGGCTAGGACTTCCAATACAAGTAGTGAGAGTGGGTATCCTTGTCTTCTGATTTTAGATTAAAAACTTTCTGTATTCCACTGAGTATGGTGTTAGCTGTGGGCTTGTATAAATGGCCTTTGCTATGTTGAGATATGTTCTCT